AGCTCTTGAAGATCTGAGTTGGAGTGTGCTAGGCAGAGGGGCTGGAAGGAAAAGAAGAGAGAATGAGGCATATTCCTGAAATAGGGAAAAACTCTGGACACCTGGTGAGGACAGCATCAAGCAGTTTAGACAATGGGGGACCACCACAGAGGCTGCATAAGGAGGGGGGATAGCATGTTCAAATCTGATGGAGCTGCAGCCATAATCAGAGGATGGGATGGAGACATAAGGACGTATCTTAAAATAGAAGGTGGTCCTTCTCAGGCTGAGCACAGGGACTCCTAACTCAGGTTTCTAAAAAATGTATGAGAAGATGTCAAAGACAGGGTCCATTAGAAAGGATTCCCCAAGAGGGCACTGAGAGTTATCACTCACTTGGAACCTTAGGGTGGAGAAGACTGTCTGATCCCAAAGCCCCAAGTGTTCTCTGCCCACACCAAGGTATGCAAAGAAACAGGAATCCTACATTTCCCTGATGGTACTGTGGGACTTTGTCCTAAGCTGGTTTTCCCAAAAGTACCAGTAAATGAACAGAGGGGTTGGCTGCAGAGTAGAAGCCAAGAGAGCAGTTAAGTACACAGGACTCTTTCTGCAAATATTTACTAACTATTAGCAGGAGCAGCAGTTCTCTATCTTGCTGGTCACCATTCTCAGTGGAGGTTTGATCAAAAACATCAAGCCAGACCAAGTGAAGAGATTCTGGTTGAGCAGGTCTGAAATGAGGTTGAGGGGGTCTGCATTTTTTGCAAGTCCCATTGGTGTTTCTGAAGTCAACCAAGAAAACCAGGATTCAAGAGAGTAATTAATATATCTCTGTCTTTTTAATGTGTTGATTTCTTCCGGTTAATATAATGTGTTTGCTTCTCTATCACAGGACCAGGTACAAATCTGAAGTTTGCAAACCCTTTTCCTTTTACGTTTGTTATTTCCTAAGTGGTAGAAAGGTGCTAAGTAACTTAAGCAGACTCCCTCAAAAGCTAGGGAATTCTGAGGAAAAAAGGTTGGCCTTCTCTGGCAATGTGGGCATCTTAAATAGAACGTAGAAAAATAATACCACAAGCTGCACTTCAAGGCTAAGTATATAACATAATCATGTGCAAAGGACATATGAATGTAAACAGGTCAATGTACTAGAATTAACTTATAGCTTAATATTAATCAGATGGCATTGTATGAATTATCTGAACTTATGAATTATCTGAAAGATGTATTTCCCAGGTACAGAAGTCAATTGTTGTATATTCAAGGAAAAAGATGCTCTGGGAGAATGTTCTCACTTAAAAGAAGGCAGAAGAATAATTGTGGGATCCTTTTAGCCAACAACCACATTCTGAGGCCCACAGGGCAGAACCATTATAAACATCATAATGGACTCCACAAACAACAGGAGTTTTGTTCACTTACTCCACCTGATTCACGATTCCCTCTTTGCTTGGATAACCTAGAGGCTCAAAGCCAAAGAGATGACATATAAAATTGTTCAAGCTAGTCTTTGACAGTATGTGAACTGAGAACTTCCAGATATACAAGCTGGATTTAGAAAAGGCAGAGGAACCAGAGATCAAATTGCCAACATCTGTTGAATCATAGAAAAAGCAAGAGAATTCCAGAAAAACATCTATTTCTTTTTCATTGACTGCTCTAGAGCCTTACTGGTTTTTCCAGTAATCAAGTTTGGATGTTAAGAGTTGGACCACAAAGAAGGCTGAGCACCAAAGAATTGATGCTTTTGAACTGTGGTGTTGGAGAAGACTCTTAAGAGTCCCTTGGACTGCAAGGAGAACGAACCCTGAAAGAAATCAACCCTTAATATTCACTGGAAGGACAGATGCTGAAGTTCCAATACTCAGGCCACCTGATGGGAAGAGCTGACTCATTGGAAAAGACCCTGATGCTAGGAAAGATTGAGGGCAGGAGGAAAAGGGGACAACAGAGGACGAGATGGATGGATGGCATCATTAACTCAGTGGACATGAGTTTGAAGAAATTCTGGGAGATGGTGATGAACAGAGAAGCCTAGTGTGCTGCAGTCCATGGGGTCACAAAGAGTAGACTGGACTGAGCAACTAAACAGCAACATCAGGCCACCCTGCGGGATTCTTTTATGTACAACGTTCCTTGTGTCTTCCTTTTATTTGTCCTCAGTTTCCTGAGATATTTTTTTATACACTAATTTTTTACAGAAGATTTAGTTGCAGAGCAAAACTGAGCAGCTACAAAGAACACTTGGATACACCCCACCACCAAATACATGTATTCTCTCCCACCTATCAGAATCCACACCAGAGCAGTACATTTGTTACAACTGATGTATACTGACATCACCACCACCAGGGCCATAGTTTACATCAGCGTACATGTAACTCTTAGTGTTGTACACTGTACAGGTTTTGACAAACATATACGATGTAAGCCTACTGTTAAAGTACCAGACAGAGTAGTTTCACTGCCCTCAAATCCTCTGTGCTTGGCTTATGCATCCCTCCCTCCCCCAATCTCTGACAACTGTAGATCATTTTACCATCTCCATAGTTTTGCCTTTTCCTATCAGGTAGTTGGAATCATACATTATGTAGCCCTTTCAGACTTGCTTGTTTTACTTAGTAATGCATATTTAAGGTGGCTCCATGTCACTCATAGCTAGACTGCTCATTTCTTTTCAGGGCAGAGTAATATTCCATGTCTGGATATACCAGTTTATTTATCCATTTACTTACTGAAGGACATTCTGGTTGCTTCCAAGTTGTGGCACTTATGAGTAAAGTCGCTCTAAACATACACGTGCATTTTTGGGGGTCAGGATATAAATTTTCAATTCATTTGGGTAAATATGTATTTTTTATACAACATGTAAACTCCCTCAGACCCTTACTGGAATGAGCTGGAGTACGTAAGCTAATACTCCATCTGATTCATGTTTCATGGCTGAACCGCCTGGAGAGCGGCACTTGGGCTGATTCTGAGGAGGCACATAGTGTGACGAGAACAAGGGCGACACCCTGCGCTTGAACTGAAGGGGAGAGAAAAATATTTTCTCTTTTCATTGTGAAACACACACTTCTAAAAGGCCATAGCAAGAGTAATCTCACTGTTACCAACACAGTAACATGTTTTCTACACAACAGCAAAGAGTTTGAGGTGCTCAGAATAATTATATTCTCTGTCAGAAGATAAAATGACAAAATGCCTATAAACATATGCACATTAACAAGCATTTCAGTGTTGATTTCAATGCAAATCCATTTTCTATCTAATAGCTATGACAGGATATTAAAAAATAGGGTAGCTTACATATCTAAGTATATACAAAAGGATATAATTGCATACATAAGGAAGGTACTTAGTTTTGCAGCAGTTAATTCATAATACATTAATTTTGTATGCTAACCTCAACCCTCCTTCATCTTATTTACCTTCTCTTATAATCTCTCAGCTTCTTAGATCTTCCTAAATTTATTTTACTTATCTGTATTATATTTATCTATGTCACCTGTTTTAAATCTTTTCTGATACAAGGCAGGGCAAAAATTATTAAAGAATGAATCAAGTAATCAAGGTATTTAGACTTGGTAAGCTCTCTGAAGACAGCTAATACATTCTTTTTCTCTTTTCTATATATTAAAATTCTCCTTAGGTAAACCTATTTCTAATTTTGTGTGTTTGTGTGTATGTGTATGAACTATTTTTTATGCCATGATTTAAAATTACAACATTGCTAATACCTGAATTTCAAACTTAAAAATTATAGTATCATCTAACTAAAACTTACTCTATATAATAGACATAGTACTTTCCTCTAGGAGCTGTTTAAAAGCCTCTTAAATCTTGGGTTTCTCTTATATACTTATTTATGCTTTGCTTAATAATTGCTATAATAATGCATGATAATTAAATATAACTTGGAAAATACAGAAAAGAATAAAAAACAAAGTGAAATGCATCTATAATTCATTTCACTCAGAGAAATTACTGTTCACTTTTCACTATATCTTATTATTACTCTTTTTCATGCTACAGTTCACTCATGTAAATAACATGGGGCGAAATGCTGATACTGAAGTCTGGTTTTACCTAATTTTCCTCAGCCCTGACAGAGGCCACTCTTCCCTACACAATTAACCACACACTAATTAGTTTTCATTCACAAACATATTCTCACATACAACAGTGCCTTTTTCTACCTGGTTGAGGTCCAAAAAGGAAGGAATATATTTAACCGTATTATAATCAGTTCTGACCTTGTCTTTTACATGTCTTTGTTTATCTACATCTGTAATCTCATCTAACTTATCAAAATGTTCTTCTTTGTCTTCCCTTAAGTCAACCTCCTACATATACCCATATAAAAGGCTTGTTTTTCACCCCTGTGGCGTTAAGAACAGGTTGTGTCTAAATCTCATCTAAAAACATCATTTACAACATACACACCTTCTTCCCCAAATTAACTGATCTACAGCCACAAAATTAATCTACAAAAAAACAAAAACAAAAAACCCAACATGCCCTTCGAGCTGATATCTGTCTACCTGGACGTGGTGACACTATTTCTTCCTTTTCATTCTTGGTCTATGAATCCTTCATTCAAGATGCCAAAGGTGGCATTCAACAATGACTGATGAGGAAGCCAGAAATACACTGCCTTACAAGACGATAAATTTTACTACAGTATAGAATTAATCACATCTGGTTTTATGAGGTATAATTATGCAGAGACTTAAACTAGCCCTACATTTGGTTTTACTTAAGACTCTTCCACATCTGTCTAGTTAATGAAACAACACAAGTAAGCCAATGTGAAAACACTTTCAGGGAGTTGTTACCGAGATTAAGTAGACTGTTACATGGCCCACGTGGCCAAAGAAATAATATTTCTGTCATGAAGCAGTAATAAAAAAGAGGTGATACAATATCCTGTTCTTGCTAAGCAAAGATAAAGAGAAGGTCTACCCTACCATTCCCAGAAGAAAGACCAACTGCCATGATATAAACTCCTGTGAAACTCATAATGAAGAAGGAGGGCTGTTGAGGCGGTTCTGGCGGTCAATCTGGCGGTCTTTCAGCTTTTTGTGCGGAGGTTTGCTATACTGGTCTTCGCGGGTGATGTAACTCGACATTCCATAGAGTGGTATGATTTCTGAAAGAATGGTCAGGAGAAACGCAAATTCAGTCTACATCTTCAACAATAGAGTCTTGCATGGTCAAATGACCTGTCTCCTGAAGGAAGAAGTTAACATATTTTACAGTAAATACAGTATAAAATATTTTTAGGAGAGTGGTATGCATATTATATACATGTTTAAAATACTCCCATTCATTTCTAACCAATAAAGGAATAATTAATCATTAAAAAAAATTATATTGTGTGTTCAGAAATGTCCAGAGATTAAGGAAAATATTAAAGAGTCTTTTCTATCAAGAGTTCATATTCTAATTGAACATATAATTAAGCTTGATTCTGCCTGTCAATTGTTCTTAGTAGTTGCAATCTACAAAAAAAAGAATTAACAAATGTCCCCTTAAGTAATAAGTCCTCAGAATCAAAACATTTAAATGTATGCTTATTCTTACAGACAGAATATTTCTACTGGAAAATATACAGCAACAAGAATATAAGCGGTTATTTGTGCCATCTAGAACAGCCAACATTTGAACAAAATCTACTATAATGAAGAGGTGAGAAATTTCCATTAAAAATAATCAAAGCTCACAGAATTAAGGGAAATGTTCAAGAGATTATAGAGCTATATATAAGCTACCTTTGCAACCTGGCGCCAGACATAACCATCTATTGTCTTAAACTTGCATTCTGGGGTAATCAGCAGACAAGACACACCCACCAGTAGAATGTCACCTGGCTTCACTATCCGTATTTTTACATGGCTCAGAAGAAAATGGAAGCCTGTGAAATAATCTTATGATCTGAGGGGAAAACACCTATTTTAAAATTATATTTTTTAAGCAATTAAAAGTCATATTTAGATACTAATAAAAATGATAATAAAGAACATAGATACTGGGTCCTTACATGTTTATAACAAAAAAAAAAAGGCCCCACATGCACAGAGGGATCATATAAATTACCATCCAAATCCAGGTACTTCTGAGGGTAACTAGGGAACACTTCTAATTACTTATCTGGACACAAGACCTAAACCAGCACTGTTCTAGGCACATCAGCAATGTAAAGTCACCCTACATAACTGAACAACCGACGTTTCAACTGTTGAATGGTAAAGCTCCACTTTTCATTTTCTTTCTGTTCACATAGCTTGAGGAAGACCTTAAAAAAGCAAATCTTTACAAGATAACCAATTTTTACTAGAGAAACACAATTCTATTCATAGAGTGCATGCCCAAGTAAATTATGTTTAAACACAGAAAAAGAATGATAAAGGCTTTAAATATCTCAAGATATTACACGTGAGACTTAAAATATTCACCATGAGTACTGGTTGAGTAATATTTTAAAACATCAAGAACTTTAAAAATGCATACAGTTTGGGAAACTAAATGTCTCAATTACTTTTAGGTGCATACACACTAAGAACTAAGGTACAAGAACATATAAAAGGCTTTTTATTTACAAAGCAAAAGATTTTTGTTTTCTGTTTAATTAGGAATCAATGAAGACAGCACTTTCATTTATTTTACATTATTGTTCTGTGTTATTTTAATGAAAATAAATCAAAACACCCTAATTCAATGAAGAAAAGGGTTTTTTTTTTTTGCTTAATTCTAATAACTTTAATCATGCTATTGTGTAAAATTACAAAAGACACCATTCACAAAACAGTAATTGTGTGGCATGCTACTAAAGACTGTTAAAATAAAGCAGGTCATACATTCTTCATCAAGTAATGATCAACAGCCAAGACTTTTCACACTGTCATTAAGCTCAGACCCAACTAGAAAACTGACAAGTACTCAAATATTTAATGTGTATTGTACGAGTACTGAATATGTTTTTAAAAACTATTCTTAACTAACTGAAATTTTTCAGTTTTTATCAAAATATTTTCATGGATTATGCCCAGTGTCTGATGTTCTGGAGTGTTATGTTACTAGGCAAGAAGACTACAGCAATAGGAAGTTATTGATGCCTCTATGCATTTAAAGTATTGATTTTGTCTTTTGCTGTCACCTCTCTGTACCCTATTATAATGGCATTTAAGCCTTTTGAATTATATTAAATTTCTTTCTAAATGCTACTGTGAAAAAAAAATTAAATTCTATCCCTAAGTTAAAATAGGATACTGACAATTTCACTTAAAATAGCCACATGTATATATTTTATATATATACAAATATATATATTTTATATATATATAAAATCAATGAAAGTAAGGTAATAACATCCTCCAAAATAAGAAGACATTTCCCATACACTTTATCTATAAACCAACATAATAAATGTTTGAAGCAATTCATAGTCAGACACAGAAGAAAATTACTTTGCAAAGTTCTAGTGTTTAAAGTCTAATTTTACCCTCACTTAGCTGGCTTCTTAGTATCCATTTTGACAGAGAAGGGCTTCAGATTAAACCAATACCAAGGCCAAAACTAACAAAACATAATGCCAGTATCTCTGAGACTCTTTTCATTTCAAGGTAAGTATCTGCCTAACAAACAGTGAAATTGTGGCTGCACTAATAGCTATTCTCAAACTAAAAACAGCACTCAGGAAGACCTGTCAACAGTGAGAGGACTCTGAGTTATGCCAAGATAGCAAAAGAGCATCCAGGAAACTCAAAGGTTACTGAGACCTCCCAGTCCTCTATCACTGGAAATGCGGCACAAAATCGTCTGTAATTTCCCTTCTACTGCTTGACCATGTGGATGCCTAAGAACTCATGTGCTGTAGCTGTGGTTCAGGCCACTCTCATATAAAAATATGTTAACAGGACATGGAAACATATGATAGATTACTGCCTCTTTTCTGAAATAAAAAGTGGTTTGCCCACTACCTGCGCTCTGTGGGGTGGGATGGAGATAGAATTTGAAAAAATATAAAGAGTCTCAAGATATAACTTGAGGACAAAGAAAGCTAGGAATTTCCAATGAGCTTTACACAGCAGATAGATCCTCCTCTACCATGCTTATTGCAGAAGAAACAAAGGCTCTATGGCTCTCTAAAGCTACTTCAGTTTTGTAACCAGTTCCAACAGCTCCAGATGCCAGCAGTCGACTCACCTTGCTCGCTGTATATTGTGGGAGGAAGGTGATGCTGAGGAAAGAACTGAGGGGGCATATCTCCAGGCCCAGTAACAGGTGGGTAGTACGCCGTGTGCGAGTTATGGATGAAGTGTGGGTGGTGAGTCAGGTAGGGGGGTAGGTGATGGGTTGGAGACATGGCCGAGGGGTAGCTTGGGGGGTAGCACTCAGGAGACTGGGGTGTGACCACCACCCGGCGGACTCCGGTATTGTCTTCAATCACCTGGGGAAAACAACAGAAAGAACACAGCATGTATTATCAGCAAGTATCTGTGAGTGTAGATAGTATTTAATTACTTCCCTCCTTAACTTTAATCTTCTCTTCTCTATAGGGGGGAAAAAATAGTGCATGTTGAATTCTGGTTCTCTAACTCAACTAGCTGGGCTTCCCTGGTGGCTCAGTGGTAAAGAATCCACCTGCAATGCAGGAGACCAAGGTTCAAGCCCTGGGCCAGGAAGATCCCTGGAGAAGGAAATAGCAACCTACTCCACTATTCTCACCTGAAGAATTCCATAGACAGAGGAGTCTGGTGGGCTATAGTTCATGGAGTCATGAAGAGCTGGATAAGATTTAGTGACTAAACAACAACAGAAAAATTCAACTAGTAAAATGAATTTTAGAAATAACATTATTCAACCAGCAGTTTTCTAGAAAGAAGAGATGTTCTGGGTCACATAAATATGCTTTAGAAGTCTGAGCTTCCATTATCTGCCCAACAACACCCAACCCCACACCTGCTTTAGCAAGTATAGTTCCATGACACTGCAGCTTTAAGAAACCAAGAGAGGTTGGCTTTACAAACTATAGCTTCAGAAACTATAATAGTACTGAAAGGTCATTTAATCTGGAACCAAGTTAGTGGATGAAAGGAGGGGATCCCCACTTATCAAACACTTGAGCAATCCCAAATCACGAAGGACACCTTTTGCTCCCAAGATGTCCAGATGACATCCTAGGGGTCGTGAAGGGGACATTATGACCAGGGACTCGCTATGGGCAGAATGAGCCTATCAACTTTCTATCCATACTTTCTTCAAGTGATTTTTTAAAAATCAAGGAAAGTAACACAAGGCAGTACAATGCCGGTATGTACTGGCTCTGTGGCCAACTGCATGCTATCTGCTCTAGGAGCAAACAATTTTGTTGAGATACAAGACATGAAATAATGCAACAGAAACTGCAATCCAAAGGCAAAGCTGTGGGGTACAGAAAACGAGAGCATGAAATGGCAGAATCAGAGGAGGCTTCAGGGACCTCACAGAACTGGTAAGGCTGGGACAGGTAGAAGGCTGTGAGCCCTGTGTGAGGGCCCTGCAAAGAAGACAACAATGATGGCGCAAGAGTAAATGTGGAACCTGGGACTGGGCTTCCAAAGAGACCAGGTGGGCTAAACAAGCTTAAGACAATCAGGCGCATCCACTGACAGAAAGTTCTGCTTAAACAAACAACAAAACTGAAGACTAAACTTGTATATTGAAATAGATTTCTCATTACACCTTAGGAGGCTGATTAGGGGCCAAAATAAAATGACTTAATCATGTCTAAAAACATTCTAACAAAAAAAATTATACTAAGCTTTGCTTTTTAAAGTACTGCTTGAGACAAAATGACAAGTTTATCAACATTATTAGTCTGTACTTTAATGTACAAAATAGGTTTAATTTTAATCAATAGCCATTAATCTTTATGTTAAGAAAACAAAAATCTTTGTTTATTAATGAACTGATTAACATAATAACTTCAGAATTTACTATGTTAGCTCATTAATAAAGCAAAATTAACTCCATAAAATTAAGATTCTGAGTCATACTCCCTACTAAAGCTCAGGATGTAGCTTTTTACATATTCTTTATTAAATATAACCTCTCCTTGGCAAGCTAATCACATTAGCCTTATTTAGGTTGCTAAGTTATAGGTATATGTGAAATGGTGCTTAAACCATGACACTAGAAATTCTTTAATGTATACACTAATAATTATCAAAGCATCTTTTTTTTTTAAAATCTAAGTATAGTTGATTTGCAATGCTGTATTAGATTCTGGTATATAGCAAAGTGATTCAACTATACAGTGTATGAATCTATGAATATATATGTGTGTTGGTCACTCAGTCATGTCCAACTCTTTGAGATTTCATGGACTACAGCCTGCCAGACTCCTTTGTTCATGGAATTCTCCAGGCAAGAATACTGGAGTAGGGAGCCACCCCCTTTTCCAGGGGATGTTTCCTGACCCAGGGATCAAACTCGAGTCTCCCAGACTGCAGGCAGATGCATTACCACGTGGACAACCACAGAAGCAGAGTATATATACTTTCTTTCTCCCTTCAGTTTATTATAGAATATTGAATATAGTTCCTGGTGCCATACAGTAGGATTTTGTTGTTTATTTTATAGATAGTAGTTTGTTATCTGCTGATCCCCAAATCCTCATTCATCTCCCTTCATCCTGTCACTTCCCCCCTTTTGTAATCACAAGTTTGTGTTCCATGTCTGAGTCGGCATCTGTTTTATAAATAAGTTCAATTGTATCCTATTTGAGATTGCACATATAAGTGATATCATATATTTGTCTCTCTGGCTTACTTCACTTAGTATGATAATCTCTAGGTCTATTTATATTGGTGCAAATGGCATTATTTCATTGTTTATGGCTGAATAGTATTTCACTGTATGTATATGTGTGTGTGTATACACACACACACACTACATTTTCTTTATCCATTCACCAGTGAATGGACATTTATGTTGTTTCCATGTCTTGGCTACCGTAAATAGTGCTATTATGTACACTGGGGTACATGTTATTTCCTCGAATTAAGAGTTTTCTCAAGATATATGCCTAGGAACAGGACTGCTGGATCATACGGCAACTCCATTTTTAGTTTTTTTAAGGAATCATCCATTCTATTTTCCATAGTAGCTGCACCAATTTACATTCCCACCAACAGCATAGGAGGGTTCCCTTTTCTCCACACCCTCTCTAGCATTTGTTATTTGTAGACTTTTTAACGATGGTCATTCTGAACAGTGTGAGGTGATACTTTTTTGTAGTTCTGATTTGCATTTCTCTAATAATTAGTGATGCTGAGCATCTTTTCATGTGTCTTTTGGCCATCTGTACATCTTTGAAGAAAAGTCTTTTTAGGTCTTCTCCCCCCCTTTTTAAATTGGTTTCCTTTCTTTAGAAATTAAGCTTAGATTGCAATATTTTCAAATATTTTCTCCCCTTTCACAGGTTGTCCTTGTGTTTTGTTTATGCTTTCCTCTGCTGTGCAAAAGCTTGTAAGTTTGATTAGGTTCCATTTATTTATTTCAAGAATCTTCTAGTTTGTCTAAAATGCAGAGCATGAATATGGTAGCACATTCTGTACAATTTCAGTATAAATATGGGTTTTTCTTACCATCTGGTATCAACATTTATTCTATAGTGTCTTTTTTCCTTCTACCTTACCACTAGTTATTAAGAAAGGAGTAGGGCATGTTCTAGATGTCCCTCTTTCATGAAACCTTGATTCAGTCCTGTGCTAGACAATGGAAGGTCCACAGAAGCGAAGTATTTGTTTTCTAGAAACTCACAACCTTCCTTATTTCAGAATGATCAAGCATTCTTAGAATGATCAAGCAGCCCATACACAATTGATTGCGGTAGTAGAAGAGCAGGGCTCCTACTAAATGTGAAGAACAACCCCGGGCTGGTAAACAAGGGTAGTTAGAAGGAAGAGAAATAATTTTCATTTTATCATAGAGTTTTTGACTTGTTAAAGCACTTAAAGAAAAACAAATCGAGCAAACAGCACTAACAAAAGTAAGAATTCTAGTCAAGGAGGGGAAAAGAAAAACTAAGAAGAAAACAGATGAAACATTATCTTTTTACTACTATATTTTATAAGAATAAATTTTTCCACTAATTACAAAAATTAATAAATCTGAAATATAAATTACTTTTCTTCATCAAAAAATGGATTTCCAATTAGAGAAGTAGCTTTTTGAAACCACAAATTTCTGGCATATATGAAAACTATTTCATAGCCCCATGTTTAATTATCATAAATTATGCTGTGGTGTTTGTGAAAAAAGTCTATTTACATGTACATGTGTAACGGGATACTTTTGTAATGGGAAACTCCCTTAACCAATCAAGGTCTTATGACTAAAAATACTTTTAAGAAATGGAATATTCTGAAATAACTAAAAACAAAAATTAAAAAAAATTATGCTGAATATTTTATTTATTGTTCTTCCACAACACAAACTGTACCATATTTAGTTATCAAATCAGTTTTGAGATCTATGTCTAAGGAAATTAGGCCTATGTTCTTCCAAAGAATAAAAAAGTCTGAGGAGCAAAAATAATGCACAATATAATAAGCAACTCAGGGAACAGTGGCCATAAATATTATGGTTTATAAAGAAATATGCTACTGTAACAGAAGAATGTAGACATTAGAAAGAGTTCAGTCTAAGAATCCTGAGACCATAAAAATGTGCCTTCAATCTCCATAAAAGACCATGGAAAAGACAAGACGTTTCCTTTTGGGGTGAATGAAACTGTGATAATTTTCTGAGGCATGTTGCCTCTGCATACAGGCAAATCACTAGTATTCAATTCAACGATTTCCTGATACAGACTATAAGCTAAGCACTGGATACTCAAAGGTGAGAAAAAAATAGGTGCTAAATATTGACTTCTCTAGTTAGCCTAAAAATAAAAAGAAAAATCAGGCTGAGTCCTAGTGAGTTCTATTCAGAAATCAGGACAAAGTATTTTTTTTCCTAGATATCAGGACCAAGTATTCTTCATCTAGAATTTTTTTCTAGAGCTATGACTCAACGGAACACTCACCTTCTCCAGACAGGCACAGACCCTTGGAAAAAATCACTCTGCTGGGTCCTCAGGTTGCCACCTCTTAAGGGATGAATCATGTATACTCTGCCCTGACCCCCACCAATTCATATAGCTAAGTCCCAACCACCCAGTACCTCAGCATGTAACTATATCTGGTGATAAGGCCTATAACAAACTAATTATAGTAAAATGTGGTCAGACGGGTGGGTCCTAATCTAATATGACTGATATCCTTTTAAGAAAAGGAAATTAGGATACAGACAGGCAGAGGGAAGACCATGTGAGGACAGCAAAGGAAAAAGGCCATCTACAAGCCAGGAAGAGAGGCCTTAAAAGAAAACAAATTGATAGCCTCAGGGATTACAAGGAAGTAA